TAATCAATTGCGGGAAAAAAGTAACTTGCGTTACTTATTTGAAAAAGTAACTCAGATATTCTCTTGTAAATTAAAAAGTAATGCATTACTTTACTAGTTACTTGAAAAAAGTAATCTGATTACGTAACTCGCGTTACTTGTAATGCGTTACCCCCACCACTGCTAAGGACCTAAGGAACCGTCAAGACGATTGAGAACCAGAACTGTTTAATTCCTTACAATTCCTATTTCTATCGTCCTGTAGGAGAAGGAACAGAAGCAGCAGCAGCTGAAGGAACTGAAGAACCTGAAGCGAGCCGAGATCATGGACAAACTGAAGAAACTGCAGGAGCTGACAGGAAATGAGAAGCTGGCCTTCAATGACGTCGACCTGGAGGGAGACTTTGACCCTCAGCAACATGACCAACTCATGCAGGTGAGTCTGGAATGACAAATATCCCATAAGTGACTGTAAGTCTGGAACAAACCTCATGGCAGGAGCTGTCAATGATGAGCTTATGATGAAATAATTGCTATATATCTGTTAGATATTTACATTGAGCTGTATTTGAATATGTACCTTTCTTCATTCTCATGTGCAGAATTTCTTTGGGGATGAATACTATGGAGAGAACGAGGAAGAGAAACCACAATTTGATGATGACGATGATTTAGCAGGTAACATTGTGTCTCTTGGATGGATGTTCACGCACACTACCTTTATTCAGCTGGATAAATTCAGCTTTGCCATCACGGAAATACATTACATTTTAAAATGTTCAAATGTTATTTTTTTAACTGTTTTTACTGTATTTTTGACTGTTTTCAAAAACATCCTACTGATCCCAAAGTTTTGGAAGCTTTTTTGTGATTTGAATATGGAATGTTTAGTAGAAAACTGGAACTGGGACACATGGGTCGGAAATGAGGAAAATGAGGACGAGTATGGAGATGAGAAAGATTATGCTGCAGAGGAAGACTATGAGCCCAACTTTGGAGATCCTAACTTTATAGTAAGACCGTTTCTCATACTTAATGCACAAAACAAATGCAGCCGTGAACTACTGTGTTCCCTGTATATGGTGTCCGCTCTTAATCTCACCTGAAATCTCTTGGGTAGATGGATGCTGACTATGACCCAAGTCAACAGCCCATTTCTAAAAAGAAGAGAAAGAAAGAGAGAGAGCAGAGGAAAAAGAAGACCAAAGAGGATGCCCCTCTAATGGGAAAGAAGAGGAAGAAGTCCCACTTTGCAGAGATCATCACCAAAAACAAGCCAGTTTTTGATCCAAGTGAGTGTTAGGTGTATTTTTAGACAGGACACTGCCATTGTCTGTCATTGGTCAGACAAAATGAAAACCCTGCCTACATTTAAACTTCTGTATTCATGTATAATCAATGGTTTATACATTGATTACCAATTATGTTTCCAGAGGAGAAAACCTTTGAGCAGTATTTGGACGAGTACTATAAACTGGATTATGAGGACATCATTGATGACTTGCCATGCAGATTTCGCTATAGAGAAGTTGTACAGAATGACTTCGGTCTGACCGCTGATGAGGTGAGGAGCTACGAGCAGCAGTAACGTGTCTGGATGATGATTAACTCTTGAGTTCTGTGCTGATGAGTGATCGTGTCTGACCTGGTATTGCTGTTCCTCCGGGAATAACTCTGACCAGGGTCTGAGGACAGAAATCTTCTCTCTGAGCAGATCTGCACTGAATGTCTCGCATTTAGATCCAGGGTTCGTACGGTCATGAAAAACCTGGAAAAGTCATGGAATTTTAAAACACCAATTTCCAGGCCTGGAAAAGTTTTGGCGATACAAGACTTTCACTCACATTTTGGGACAGTTGACAGAATTGTCACTTGCCTAATCGGGTCATTGTTGCATCGTCAGAAAATTGTATTATTTATTTGCACGTCTTTTTAAGCCATTCGGTACTTGCGCGCTCCAGAGGCGGTGCGCAGTCACATCCAAAGTGCGTTTGTGCGTATATAAAGCCACCTTGCCAGTACCCAATTGAGTTTGCTACCAAATAAGCTTAGCAGAACCCTGCACGGGCCTCAAAGATTATTAGAATTACTGGCCCGTGTCTTTTTTCTCTTTCTCTCTTCCCCAATTACACAGCTGCTGTTATAGCCATTAAAATAGTTCAGTTTCATTTTTAATGGCAAAAATGGTTATATATATTTTCGTTTCTTTATTACGTTAATTTAGACATATGTTTGGAAAATGTTTTTGCTTGTTAAATTCAAGTTTTTGTTTTGTTAAAGTAACGACCAAGCGGCCAGTGGCAGACAGTGAGTTAATCATAGCCTATGTTTGATCAATTTAGCCTTCTCAAATCATCACCACTTGACTAAAATAAAATCTATAGGCCTATATAAAATGCTTAAAAAAAACAATGTTAGCTTAAATGGTTAACCTAGATAAATGTGTGCTATTAGGAGCGTATCCAATCGTTTGTGCAGAGAAGCTAAAGCGCGCTTTGCAGGACATGGAGTCACCAGCACGATCACTTGCATTTTTTTCTTATAACAGTGGAAACAACCAGTTATTTTTGCTCATAAAGGTAAGAGTAATGCATCATTCGGGACTGTTAAGGGTCTACTTTTATTTGTGTGCACTCACAAGATCAGCATTGTGCTTTTTTAGAAAACAAACAGGATACGCTTTCTGCTGTCTCGGTCTTGAGCAGGAGCGCTTCACAAAAATGAACCGAAACCCTGCG